AGCAAGAGAAAGACAAATGGCAGAGTGGGGAGGAGCTGGTGTGGCAGAGCGGCAGGTGACCCAATGGAGGCAAAGGAAAAAGGCCGCTCCAGCAATCAAGAGGGCTTAGCCGTCTTTTCTTCCCTCAATGAACTCCTTGTCTCAAGATGTGTGTGTACATAAGGGGTTGGAAACACATACTTTTAAAAATATCAATATTGTTTCATTGGATTTCAACATGGAAATTGTGTAAGTCCCATGCAAGATGGTTTTTCCCAGGATGTGTAGCAGAGCTCGAGCCAGGAGGCTCTCATCAGGCAGGGACATGAAGTTAGTGTTTAATCAGCGAGAAGAAAAGGGGAAGGCTAACGTGTGTGTGCACCTGCTTGGCTGCTGTTACTGTGTGTGAGGTAACGTTTTTGTATGAGCATTAGTTTTAATTAGTTTGTGTACACTTTTAGTACAAGGTCATTCAGTTCAACACCACAAACTGCGGCCTCAACACCTGTTACCCTGCATTATGTTGATATAAGAGGAACATGTAATACTTTTCACATAGTTATGCAACAACAACAACAACATATTTTTGTAATAGTCTGCTGCCACCTGTAATGGTCACTTAGCGAAATATACTATAAATGTATTGTTCGATTAAACATGAAAAACATAAAAAAAAATTCTCTAATAATTAAGGTTTGTCAAAATACACTACGGAAATATTAGGGTTGTCACGATATGATAACTGCCATAATCAATCTGACTCATTCTCTGCCTCCATACATAGATTGTAATTGATTGGACAAAAAAGAGTGAGTGAGCAATAAAGAAAGTTAAAGATTATTTATACTGATAGAATGGGTCATTCATTTTCTTCAAAATGTTAAAGATAATGGGAACATATTGTAATTGTGATTTATTTTGGCCGCAAAATATTGAAAATTGGATATTGTGACAGGCTTAAATATACATGAACATAATTCATTCATCATTGCAAATTAAAAATAAATAAAATCAGTTCCACTTCGAAATCATAAACTTGTCACAAGGGTTGAAAAAAAGGGATAGAGCAGAGTCCAGGCTCTCTGTTTACCTTCTCTATGTCATTATGTTGCATTTATTCTTCAACATGTTCTCTAGAGGAGGAGGAGGAAGAGGAATACGAGGTTGATGGGTTTGATTTCACAAGACAGACAGACACACCCCAACGTCTGCAAGGGTTTGTTTTTGGAACTTGTTCTCAGAAATGTTTGGCAAAATCTGTGTGCAGCTACGACTCATTAGATAGGGAACATAATAAAGCCACTTTAAATCACACAGTGCAATGAATAATAAGAATTATCATGTTGCTACACTGTTGATGACTTATTGGCAAGTAGTGCTACACAGTAGGATATAAGGAGTCCTGGCGTCGTGCATGAGAAACAGGATATCACATATAGTGCAGTCCAAAATTGGCAAGGACAATTGCACAATTTATTGAACCATTCCTATAATAGAATTATATACAATTAAAGCTGGTTATTCCAAATAAAACAATTATTTATATTATGAAACCTAAACCTTGGTCTCTCAACACTGTCATGGTTTGGCTTCACTTGTCTTCGGGGCTGTGCTAGGGCTACACATGTTGCGATAAAAAAAACGTACAATGGCATCCAGGATTGTTTTATAACTCTCCTGATGGTTTTACAAAAATCGGCTTGAGCTGTGTTTTGCCAAGACTGTAAACCATTATTGTCAAGGGTAGTTGAGAAAACGCAAAACGCAGGAGACCGGAATGTATCACAGAACGTATCACGGAACGTATCAAGGAACGTATCACGGAAATAAAGCTTTATAGGCTCGGTCCAAGGTAAGACAAGGCAAGGCAAAACAAAACAGGGAAAACCAGAACCAAACCTAAACGAACTGAACCGAACCAAGCATCCCAATGTACGACAAACAAGGATCCAGCAAAGACTGAACAAAAACGAGGACCTTGAATATAAGCAGAACTAATTAAAGGTGGGGTAGGTCATTTTGGAGAAACCAGCTCGAGTACGCTAGAATTTGAAAATACACAACCGGAAAGAATCTGCCACTTCCTTACAGAGCCCCTCCTCCAACACACACGAACGCGCACATGACCAATGACTAGTGTTGGGACTAACGCGTTACAAACTAACGCGTTATTGTAACGCAACTACCTTTTTCAGTAACTAATAACGTTACTAGTTACCTATTCCCATTCAGTAACGCCGTTATAGTTACTGTGATTTAAATGGGTGTTACTGCGTTACATTATGTAATCTAACTGAACCGAATCTCCCTGCGAATGTAACTTATACCTCATTCACACCAACGCAACTCCGGTTCAAGCTCCGTTAGTAAAATCGGCGGCCGTTTCTATGACTTTGTATCCTGTATGACGGGACAGCGTGTAAGTAGAGCACGTGAATTAGAGCACGGGAGAACCGACTATCCTGGGATAAATTTTTCATTGATCATTTAATCAAAATGTCGACGAGAGTTTCTCATTGACAATAAATAATCAATGATAATATTTTCATGATCGTGTTCATGAAATGAAATGAAAATTTTTATTATGTATGTGTATATTGGTTGTAAATGTAAACTGGTGTTTTATTTTTAAAACGCAGGAAATAGGTGGGTTTAACTTTATTAATCTTATAAATTTTACTGCGACGACGAGTACGACTCTCTCTCTATTAACGTAGACGGTAATCTATCTCTCCTCTTCACACACGCACGCACGCACGCACGCACTGCACGCACACACTCACACACACATTACACACACACACACACCACGCGATCCACTCACGGCAACGCACTACACCGTCTACACAACCATCCACAAGTTGACTAGTACGTAAAAGGGGTATTTCGTTCTAGGCTGGGTTGAGACAGAGACTAAACGAATGAATGGAGCTTCTACAATGGACGGCAATTGGTTGTTGGATAAGTGATGGAGAGAGGTTGCGAGTGAAAGGTGAAAAGTGGCCATCGACACGTCTCCTGTACTGACATAAAGCGGACAATTATGGAGTAAGTGTGGTTGCTTCCACAAAGTCCCGGCCAAGCCTTCGACTCGAACTTTTCATGGCCCAAAAAGGAAAAGTATGGCGTCGCCTCGTCGGAGAATTCGAGGCCTTAGGCCAAGCAAAGTTTCGTGTTTTTAACAGGCCGATCTCGTTTTCGTGGTGTATGCTAGTTGCGAATGCAACTTCGCCCCCGTCCGCCGGTTCACCAGTTGAGGGACTTGTTGTTGTTTTTCGGCCGCAAAATAGGGTCAAACACGTGTTGTTACCTCGTTGAATTGTTCGTCGTCACCAGGACCAGGAGAAGTCACCTGGTGACGACGATGACCCTTTACCGATGACCCTTAGACCAGAAGGCTCTCCTATGTCTCTCACGTACCTCGTGTTAGTGTCCAGTAACAACAACAACAGCCACAAGTCGGGGACACTCCCCAAAGGCTCGCCAAACCGGAATATCCTTCGTCCGTACGGTTTGCCAATGCAGAACTGCGTTTGCTACTTGCGGTTACTACGTGTCTTGGTCAGGCCTGAGACCGCGTCACACTTTTCTCGGCCTCGATTTGGCTTTTTGGCCAAGACTTGGGACTTTANCTTCCTTACAGAGCCCCTCCTCCAACACACACGAACGCGCACATGACCAATGACTAGTGTTGGGACTAACGCGTTACAAACTAACGCGTTATTGTAACGCAACTACCTTTTTCAGTAACTAATAACGTTACTAGTTACCTATTCCCATTCAGTAACGCCGTTATAGTTACTGTGATTTAAATGGGTGTTACTGCTAGGGATGGGGCCGATCCGATCCAGTATCGGTATCGGGTTCCGATATCAACGTAATTCACGTATCGGAAATTTCCGATCCATACCCCTAGATTTCCGATCCACACATTATGCTGAAAAGATTCTCCGTGCACGGTTCTGGTATGTTGCTTTGCTACTGCAAGATGTGGAATGGAATTCCTAAACGGGGCCATCTCAGTGATCACAGTAGCCTAGGCACGCCCCCGTTCAAGAATTCCATGCCATAGTTTGCAACAAGCAAGCAGTCGAACGTTGAGCGGTCTGGTCTCTGGCCGGGTAATTAGTGCTAACTATTTTGTTGCTAACTATCAATATGTCTGCTGTATGGCAATACTTTTCTCTCGATTCACTGCAAAGCAAGATAGTTAGCAACAAAATAGTTAGCACTAATTACCCGGCCAGAGACCAGANTTCTCAGATTAATAATGATATGATAAATCAGTTGAAAGCCGAAGTTCAATAAACATCCCAATCCCCTATGCTGAAGTTGCAAAAACACCACGATCTTATCGTATCTTATTCTATCAGTTTCCCAGTTACAAAGGGGGCGGGTAGCGTCTCGCAGCGGAGAAACTGTGATGCGCTGGGACGACTGTGAAGGCTGCTAGTGGAGCCTCGCAGCAACTCTTCTTGCTGCACCACAATCTGCTGCTGCTGAATTGGGACTACTAAATGAGTGAGACTCAAATATCAGAAGTTCAGAACAAGTTTTAGTAGTTTTTATTTTATTTTTACTTAATTTACTTTACTCAGGGTCACAGAGAGGAAACCAGTTTTAAGATGTTGAAAAGTTCATTAAACATAAAGGCATTTCATAGAAGTTGTGTTATTCTACATTTTGACACCAAGATTTTCTGATTTTACTGCAAATGTATATCGGTTCCGAATATCGGTTATCGGTCTCCTTGATTGCTAATAATCGGCATCGGCCTTGAAAAAGCCATATCGGTCGATCCCTAATAAAAAACTTCATAACACACAAGGGGACGGGTCATAACCGGAAAAGCATGACATGGGACCTTTAAGATCACATCACACATTTTCAGAAAAAATTTTTTTTATAGTAAATGCTGTCAGCTGAAATACAGATAACAAACTGGTGGTGATTTATTAATTCATCCATGAATGTGCAGTTATTCTCAAAGAAACCTCCTGATCGTCATCTCTTTTGTTGCAGCAACTGAATGACTCAACTGTCATTATCAGCTCCCTCAGGACTCATTTAATCAACAAGTAAGTTGTAGCTTCCTTCATGTTATATGCTTTTTGAAATAATTATTATAATGTGACAAGTAAAAGGCTAAGCAACTAAAAATATGTTTTAACATTTTTATTTTCGGCAATATTTAAAAATATATATTTCTGAAATACGCCTATGTTAGACTCATGTTAACTTCCTAATGACATCACTATGTAACAATAGGGCTTCTATTGGCTAGCGCTCCAACACATTGTACGTGATAGGCTAAGGGGCGGGACATCTTTAAGCGGTTGAACAATCACAACAGAGCCGGCCAGCTAACCAATCATAGCAGACTGGGCTCTGGTTTCAGACAGAGGGTGAAAAGAGGTGCTGCAGTATGAGAACAATAAAGAGCTTTTTGAACATTAAAGCATGGAGACATGTCCCAGTAGAGGCACAACCTGAACATGAGAATAATAGGGCCCCTGAATTATACAAAAATGTCTGTTTTAAATTAATCTGCAACTTTTAAGATAAATGGCAAAGTGTTGTTCATCTTTTAAGCAAAAATGTTAGAAATAAGCTGGTTACAGTGTCTAAAATGTAACAGGTTAAGGCTTCTCTTTGTGATACATGACATTAAACTGAATGTAGTTAGGTTAAGAGACATTTCAAAAAATCTTACCTTCGACTAGAACATGTAAAATGATCAACCAAGTCATTAGCAGGTGAAGCAATAATATAACAATAGTTTCCTTTCATAAATTGCCCAGTAATAAAGGAAAGCGAGCAAATATATTTCTGTAATTTTGGTGTAGTGTCTTTTTTTCAATGGGGTCTTTTTGTCCCTCAGGGAGAGAAGCATGACGGATATCCTGCAGTGCTACCCAGCGATGAAGTCTGTGAACGACCATGGGAAGGAGGTGACGGAGTACAACAACAAGTACTGGGTGATGCTGACTGAGGCCGAGAGCCTGGAGCTGTACCCCGAAAAGGGGATCCAGAAGTGAGACCTGCTGCTGTATTGAGTCACTCCAAGCTTTATTTATAAACGCTGCATTCTAAATTCACATTGGAATGCTTTGCAGCTTATTTTATTGTGTTTAAACTCTGTGTTCTATTTGTTGAAATACTTTTCAGTGGTGGATTTTTTCGACGATGTCAAAAACTAATTTCAATTCACATCTAACAAAATATTCTCTTTCGATCCATATTTGTTTGTGTTTAGCCTTTAAAAATGTTGCTTTCCCTCTTGCTACACACACAAAATGGTATTTACAAAGTTGTGAAGCAGCAATCATATATTAAATTAATGTAGCAACAATACCAAAAAAATACCAAAATTAAGGGTGACAATGTCATTAATTATGACCATCAGCATACTCTTATTTCGAAAGGTTGTACTCTGTGGCCTGGTAGTCTTTCTGAGAATGTTAAAAGCACACAGAAAGGGAAATCTGTCCTGTATTATTCTGCAAATATTCAATTGTTTAGTCCACATCAGAATAATACAGTTGCACATTTTAGATGTCTGATGCAAATCTTATTGCAGCTGTGTTGTCAGAACTGTACTGTCTGTTTTCTACCCCTATCAGAGAGGAGATTAAGTGGCGTAAGTGGGCTGATGAATGGCTTGTGCATCTTATATCTCCCAACGTGTACCGGACCACCGGAGAGGCCATGGCCTCTTTCGACTACATTGTGCGCGAGGGCAAGTTTAGCACCATGGAAGGTTTCTTTGCCAAATATGTTGGTGCTGCGGCCATGTACATCATCGCAAAAAGGCTGAAAAGTCGGTGAGTTACACAAGAAAATACATCTTAAAGTGGCCTTATAATGCTCCTTTAAGGTTCATGTTTGTATATTGTTCCTCTACTCACTGTGACATGTGTTCATGCTTTAAAGGGGAACTATCATGTAAAATGCACTTTTCTATGTCTTTTATACAGTGGGGGAAAAAAGTATTTATTCAGCCACCAATTGTGCAAGTTCTCCCACTTAAAAAGATGAGAGAGGCCTGTAATTTTAAATTCTAGGTATACCTCAACTATGAGAGACAAAATGAGGAAAAAAAATCCAGAAAATCACATTGTCTGATTTTTAAAGAATTTATTTACAAATTATGGTGGAAAATAAGTATTTGGTCACCTACAAACAAACAAGATTTCTGGCTCTCACAGACCTGTAGCCTCCTCTGTCCTCCACTTGTTAACTGNATATCATTATTAATCTGAGAAGGTCCCGCCTCTCTGGCTGGCTGCGGCCTGGAGAATCTTCAGTGTTGATTGACACTTCAGTAATAGCCTATCAGATAGCGCTGTGGGCGGGACATTGCTCGTGAACAGTGGTGACTGCAGCCAGAGAAACGGCCGCATCAGAGCCAAAGTTGTATCGGCAATTTGATTAAAAAAAGGCCGCGGAATATCGGCCTCGATAATCGGCCAGGCCGATAATCGGTCGACCCCTAGCTTTTCTGCGTGTAAATGGTCTGCAAAGTCACAAACCCTCAAAGTTACACCCTGCAGCGAGTAAAACTCTAACACAGAAAAGACCTGTCTATGCTGCCCCAGAACTAGTGCTGCGTACCTGGACTCACATTCAGGTTCAGGTCCGGACTCAAGTCCAGAGGTTCAGGTTCAGGTCCGGACTTATAAGTCCGGACCTGAACCCATGGCTTGTGTCAAGTTGTGTGAGTAACTAAAGTGAACTTATTGTGAGCTAATTATCAATTGAGAATAAACTCATAATCAACTCAAATTCAAACTCGTCAGGTTTATTGTGCTCCCTTCCAACTTGTGTCTACATTTCTCTACAAAGTACAAATGTAAAAAAAACACTTTTTGCCACTTAGTCTACAAATGACTTATGCCAGCAACTACAGTGAACTACTACAAAGTTCAAACATTTATTTCATTTACCAAACTAAAGTAACCAAACAGCCCCTGAGCTGACTGAGCCTAAATCCCTAAAACTTTGCTGAAAGGTAGAGTGTAGAGTAGACTATACGCATTACACTGTTACACACCTACTATACAGTATACACTGTAGTGACTACTACTCGACCATGCTGTCCACTATGTCTAAGCCAATCACATCGCTAGCTTCCCTTGACGTCACACAGATCTCGCGAGCAGTTAAGATATTTTGCGAGACTTCGTGAGTTGAGTAATGGCCGCCATATCACAAGCCGACACGATGTTTTTCGTCTTTTCTCAGCGCAAATTTCTCGATCTATGGAAGGTTTTAGATGGTTTAGGACAAAAAGGAGAATATACGTAAGTGCTAGTTTTTTTGCGAGTCCAAGTACCGGTTCCCGACGTTCCGGTTTTAACCGGACTTGAACCGAAACTTTTTGCAAGTCCAGTACCGGTTCGGCGTACCGGTACGCAGCACTAGTAGTGTACAGAGTAGACTTGATGGAGCAAACTTCTCATTCCCACGCGCCACCGAAGTGTGGTTCTGCTGGTGGGTTAAAGCGAAAACTGACCTGTTGCTTAGCCAGTGCTGGAGCTCTGGAACACATATTGGCGAACGCTTCCCTGAGCTCCCTTTCTTCCCATCCAGATTGTTATCAGTGCAAAGTTCAAAAGCCAACATCTGTGATGGTATGGGGGTGTGTTAGTGCCCATGGCAACTTGCACATCTGTGAAGGCACCATTAATGCTGAAAGGCACAAAAAAGTATTTTCTAGGGATGTCCCTGCTTATTTCAGCAAGACATTACATTACATTACATTGCATTTAGCTGCTAAATGCAATGTAATGTAATGTAATGTCTTGCTGAAATAAGCAGGGACATCCCTAGAAAATACTTTTTTGTGCCTTTCAGCATTAATGGTGCCTTCANGCCCAGTGGCCGTCTGCGAGACAGCGAAACCCAGTCCGAAACCAGCCCGAACACACACCCGCAGCCTGGCTGGGAGTTTGTGTGTGTGTGCTCGCACACCGACTCACAGCCTCGCCGCGTCCCGCCGTCTCAGGGAGGAGAAATCAGCGGAGCTGCAGCTGAGAAAAGATTGAGTGTGTGTGTGAGGCTCCGCGGACGTAACGGCTCCATGGATTGGTCCATTTGGGTATGGGCACTTCACTCTACCCAGGAAGAAAACAATGGACAAAGAGAAATCTCCAACGAGGCGTTCTGGGTAGTGCTGCGTACCGGTACGCCGAACCGGTACTGGACTTGTAAAAAGTTTCGGTTCAAGTCCGGTTAAAACTGGAACATCGGGAACCGGTACTTACGT